CTATACTAAAATAAAGTTTTGATATTTAGGAAAAACAATTTATATTTAATTTTCTTAATACTATACAGCTTCTGAGCTAAGAAGCTTTATTTAACTTAACTAGTAACTCATATAGTAACTATTACAGCTAACAACAAATCAGTCTTACTAATGCAAATATCATATGTAAATATATGTAATATAATATGTAAAATAACATATGTAAATATTAAAATCTACGTGTTTTTCAAATACTGGTACAGCTACTGGTAACTTTTCTAATATTTGGTCCAAAGGTACATCAGAAACATCGCTTTCCTCAAATCTAAACGTATGGCCCTTATCGTCTCCAATTTTCATAAATGTGACTGTCGCTTCATCTTCCTTATAATCAATTTGATTTAGCACTGCAGCATATCGGTATTCTGCTTTTTTAACAGAAAACTAGTAAAGCATAATCACCGATATTGTAGTGGTTCATTATACTAGGCTTGGCAATATTCTCCAAATTAGCTGTGGAACATGGGTTTGTAAAACAGAGTTGGTATCAGGTAAGTCAAGGGCTGAACCAAATTCATTTTCATATTCAGAATCCGTGTAAGCTTCTTCGACTTTGAGTTTTCCCTTGTCTTCATATTTGAGATCGCCTATTCTGAAATGCCGGCATTCGTCGTCACAAAAGCAAACTTTTCATTACGAGCTTGGTAGTGCCTTTCTGAAACCCCAATGGCCACCTTGATATGTTTCCCTTCACTTGGTGTATTTTAAGGGTACCCGTGAATTTTTTCAAATCAGCTACTTCTTTTTTAGTATCGTCACTCATTTTCTGTATAACTTCATCGTCAATCGTAACCATTGTAATTCCAGGACGTCTTGCTTGAGCTGTGTCTACAAAAGTCGTTCGTATATCAAACGTTCGGTCACGCATTTTGGTTCTAAGATTTTTTCCCTGGTTTTGGGTGTCTCTTTTTTGGCTGTAATCGTGAATTCACTGAAAGGAATACAATATTTTGAAAATTAATTATCATTGGCTAATTTAACTTGACGTTGCCTGAAAGAAACAGTCCCCTGTAGCATAAAACAGTCTCCTGACCCAAAAATTGTCAGGGGACTGTGCCCAGAGGACTGTTATCTTAACAAAGAATGTTTCTTGGCATGCAGTCATCCAAAAATTATACAAAGTGAACAGATAGACATAAAAACATACTTAGTGGGTAATTATGTTATATAATTATTTTAATTCAATCATTCAAATCAACAAAAAATTACTTACCAGTGGACTGTTACAACTAGCAGCCACCTCTCCAATGTGTTGTATAATTTTAGCGACATTTCCAAATTGTGGCTGGGGGCTGTTAAAAAAATTTGGGGACATTTGGCTTTCAGCTTCTTAACTATTTTTTTATTCATATATAATTTAATCAGTAATTTACATTAATAATAACAAACATTTGTCATAAGGCTTCTCGTACGGAAAATGGATCACGTCAGGTAGTCCAGTTAAATAGCCGAAACTGCCGCAAAAGTGATAACATAGTCACAAAGTTATGTCCGCTGGCGTAATGGTGTAATAAAGGCTTGCGAATATTGTTGTAAGAGTTTTTGGTTTTCCGGAAACCAGGCGTTTTTTGTAGAACAGCGAAAAACCCAAAAAACCTATTTTTCGATGAAACGGCTGAGGATTTTTGTTCACGTAAATTTTTATAATTTTTGAGCCATCAAAATAGGTCTAGTGCAATTTTTTTGCTAAATTGCTTAGTTTTCGCGCTACAGCTTGCTGATTGCTTGTGGCGACGGGCTTGCGGATTGCGGGGTCAAGGACGTACACATATCACCACCTGCTTCACCGTTGTCCCGGACGATCCTCTTTTAATATTTGGACGTCCTCAGTGACCAGTCGATTTCGAATAATAAGCTCGTAAGTAGTTGTAGCGTTCACCGACGTAAGCATGTTAACGAATTTTTGAAATTTATGCGTTTAAGTAGAGTACAAGATGCAGTAATTTCTCTTCAGCCCCTTACCTATTGACTGGATAAGTGAGGTATAGTATTTTCATTTAGAATTGGAACAACGACAAAAAACCTAGAGCTGCAAAAAGGTGTGAACGAGTATATAAATGAGTGGCAATGATAAGAATACATTACTGGATGTAGAAGTCCAATGAGTCATCAAAAGACTCACTTTCGAGGCTCCACGTTATTTTCATAATCATCCTCGCAAATCAGTTTGATCACCGGTAGTTCTTGATCTACGACCATGATGAGAGATTTAGCAGTTCTTGAGCTGCGTCTATACGTTGGGCTAACATACGCCAACGCAAATATGTAAAGAATAGACAATGGCCGATTATGATGAGCATTTGACGATGTCTTCTCTGCACACTCGCTGTGGAAACCGATAATAATGCTCATTGGTCTAGTCCTAGTCTCAATGTATCGGTGTACGTTAGCTTGACGTGTAGACACAGCAGTATGCTCTGCTGTACAACTTATCTGCACAGGACTTCACACCTTTTTTTGTACAGCTCAGGGATTTTTTGTGTTTCCAATTATTGATAATGGAAGGACTATAAGTATGGGTGTGTACATTTCAGAGTTGAGTTAATTGAACAGAAACATAATAATTAAAAAATTGTCATCCTATCAAAATATAAAATACACAAAATAGATGCATCTACCGATAAATGGTTTGTCCATAATTTCTTGTCTCCAATGAAATATGTATATGGAAAAATCTTTAACTTCAATTCTAAAATGTACACACACCAGTCAATCGACAAGCAACTGAAGAGAGATTACTCCACTTACTTAAACGCATAAATTCGAAAATTAGTTCATTCGGAAAAGTCGGTGAATGTCAAACTGAGAAGCGAGCTCAGAGTTCAAAATTCAACTGAACTAGGTGTATTACTGGAAAAACGCCCCCATGTAGTAAGAGATCGTCTGTCTGGGTCGTCAACGCATGGATGGCAGGGCTGCCAGGCGTGGCGATTTTTCGCCAAAGTAGCGGTTGACAACTTGGCGACTAACATTGACAGCTTGGCGATTGGCTACTTTAGTGGCACCCAGTATCTAGCAAATTGGCGATATCTGGCGATTTTTAGCATTCATGACGCCACTTGATTTGTAATCTATTTTTGCCGATATAATAAATCGTCTTTATTCAGGGGGCGAAGTTTAGCATAATGCTACTCTGCCACTTGAACCCCCCCCCTAAAAAAAAGAAAAACTCATGAGTTAAAAGTATAAAATTTTTTCAACTAATTTATATACTTCTATGTATTAAAAATAAATTTCTTCATATTATGTCTTTAAAATTCATCATATGATAGCAATTTTGTGGATCGAGGTTTAGCATTGTAAAAAATAATTGTATAGATTAATGGAACATGAAACGAGGACCAGCGGAAGTTCTGTGCTCTAAGCACAATGTATCCGCCCCATCGAATGAACGTACAGTTTCGTTCAGATTACACGTATCTAACAACCCCCCCTTATCCTCCCCCTCTCCCTTTTCAAAGAATTGTTTATTACCATATAATATTATTATGCCTAACCTCCCTCACCTCCGCTCTTCAGTTAACAGGCAGGCTACTACCCGCCCCTCCCCCTTCCCACAACTTCATTCCAATCTCTAACCTGGCGTTTTATGGTTGACTCATAGTTATTTCAAAGATTGGCGGTTTCTCATCAAAACTTTGCGACCAACGTGACTGAAAACCTGGCAACCCTGGTGGAGGGTGCGGCGGCAGTTTGGTGGTATGCAGGAATGCAGGTGCGCGCACCCTTTCCCTGCAAGCCCCTCACCATCAAACCATCAGCAAGCTGTAGCGCAAAAACTACGCATTTTAGCAAAAAATTTGCAAAGGCCTTTTTTGATGGCCTAACTTTCTGGCTATGTTATCACTTTTGTCTCAGTTTCGGCTATTTAACTGGACTAAGCGGTCTGTTTATTTAGGTTTTTGAACTGCATTAAATTTAGTATTACAGTATTATATTAGTAAATTAACAGTGGAGTATAAAGAATATCTAATAAGTCATTTTTATTATTACATAGAACTTAGTAATAATAAGATCTATTATATAAATTTTGCCTGGGACAGCTATTTTCCAGTTAGGCCCGGTTTTTCAATCGCCGATTAACTACGACCTTGGTCTTAACTTATAGTTATTTATGAAAAAGCGTTTTTCAATATCATGTTTATAGTAAAACGGAAGTTAACTTTAACCAGAAGACCATCTATGAGTTAACTAGAAAGGCTGTAGTTAAATAGCAATACCTGACGTTTTTTGACATAAACTTTGACATTTATTCAAAAAAACACAGCAAATCCATATCAATCTATCGATTAATTTAAGCTATAAACATGTTTATGGATTAAGATGTGAATGCGTATAGCAGTGACAAAGACGCGAGAAGGCCAAAAATAATCCGCCATCGGCCGACGAATTACTTTGATGAATTGGATGACCAAGATTTCGTCTTACAAAAAGGACTGTAGAAACTCTCCTGGACGAAGGCTATGAAGATTTAGTATATCCTACAAGCAGGTAGATGTATGTATTATTGTTTATTTCCATATTTCTACATGACTTTGTCATTCCAGGAATAACTGCTTAACGCCCCAACAGCAGCTGTTGTTAGCACTGCGCTATTACGCTAATGGAAGTTTTTAACTGTTGCTGGAGATTTTACTGGGGTTTCCAAATCAACTCCATCCAAAACAGTCCGAGGAGTCTCGAAAGTTCTAGCGAGTAAAAGAAGTAATTACATAAAAATGCCGGCCACTCCTGAGGCTCTTGCCAGAGCAAAGCAATCCTTTTATAACATAGCTAGGTGACCTCGATGCATAGGTGCAATTGACTGCACGCATATAAAAATTGTTTCTCCCGGAGGAAGCCGTGCAGAGCTCTTCAGAAATCGAAAGCAGTTTTTTCCACTGAACGTGCAGACTGTTTCTGTCGCAGATTTGAAATATTGTAGGTCAGCCCACGATTCATACATTTTCAGAAATTCTCAGCTCTGCAGACAATTTGAATCAGGTCACTTTGGAAACTCTTTGTTGGTTGGTGACAAAGGTTATCCTATTAAACGCTATTATATGAGACCATTAAATACAACTACAACTCCTGCTGAAGAATTATACATGTACAATGTTATAGAGAGAAGCTATGGAGCTTGGAAAAGAAGATTTCCATCTCTAGCTATGGGTCTCAGAGTTCATCTTGATACAGCTCAAGCAATTAATTACTGTAGGAACAGCAGTGCTACATAATGTTGCTTGTTCTAATAATGAAGCTATGCCCCTTATTAGTCCTGAACAGGAAAATGCTATTAACATGGTTTATGTAGATAAAGTGGAGACAGATCCTGTAAATATTAGGTTGCCACAAAATGCATTCTACAATGTTATAAGAACTTACCTTATTAATAATTATTTTGCAAATTTGTAAATTGATTCAATAGATTCATTGATGCTCAGTGAATGACTCGATACTAGATAAAAGTTGTTTAGTATAAGATGTGATAATCCATGGCAAGCGGATAAGAGTTGTGGCTAAAATTGTTGGTGCCCAGAAAAGGCGCACACGGCATTTGAAAATAGACGTCCCAAGAATCAAAATGGACACTCAGTCGATCTTTTTGGACACCTAAAGTTTTCGCCATAGCTCTCATCTACTTGACATATGAATTATCCCATATTTATTGTAACTAAAGAATGAAAATAAACATGATTTTCTGAAAACAGTTTATTATTAAAATAACATATTATCCTCAAAAATGCGAAATACAAAAAAAATTAGTGAAAGTGAAAATATTCCAGAAATTAACAAAATAAATTCTATGTTTTCTACTTATCCAATGCATTGATCTGTAAATCTAACAGCTGAACCTTTTTTTGATATATTTCCATTTTTTTATTGTGTTTTTCGATGATTTTTTCTTTTTGTAGTTTCACAAAATTCATCTTTTCTTCTATTAGTAGATAGTTAACAGAAATATATTTTTTATTTTGTACTGTTTTCGTACATGATAGCTTTGTAGTTTTTGACCTCTTCAGTTGTTGGGGAGTATAGGAGCTCCATTTCCCATTCTTGAAGACCACTTCACTGTCATCACAGTTCTTTGCATCAGGAACTAAAAAATGCTTCAATCAACAGCAATGCGACTTACCATGTTCAATAACCACTTCTTCTTGGTTACTACAGTTATCATCATAATTGTTTGTCAAACCTTCTAATTGTGGTCCCATTATTTCTTGTAATTGTGTATCAATCAAATCGAATGCTTGCAATTCGCATGAACCTCCCCCTGTCTTGATTGTATTGGTTTGTTTGTAGCAAATTTACTTTTTGTTTTTTTCTTTAAATTAAATATTTATCTTGTAGAGTTTTTGCCTCTCGGTGGCACCCTGTTAGGGCTTGGAATTCTTGTTCGATGCTCTGCCATACTGAACTTTTCTGTTTCCACGTAACTGTGCCACTTGTTTTGTTCTCTATTACATCTTTATTTTTGCCCACCAATGATATTAGCATCATTTCCTCATTCTTCGAGAAATTTTGAGCTCTCTTTTTGATCTCATTCTCCATGCTAGAAAACAGTTTTTGAGAAATTTTAGCAACAAGAATAAAGGCATTATGTATCCCCTTTACTTGTGGATTGTAGATTATAGGAGTGACACTAAAAAAGGTGGAAAATACGATATTTAGCAGATATTTACAACTTAATTGTTTTTTGACGTTAGTATGGTTCATTGGACATTGCATTTGCATCCTTTTTTATCACCATTTCTATAATGCCGTCAATAGGGTCTAATACTAAACATTTGTACGAACAATGTTTGAAAAAACTTACCTTGCTTGACGAAGGTTTTATGTTTTATTGGTTTTTAATGAAATTTCCGGATTTCGATTTTGGCTGTTTTAAGAAATTTCATTCAATCGAACTATCATGCATGACGTATGACACGGACACAGATGCCGAGCCCACAAAACGCACGATATCTAAGAACCCCAGATGCAGGGCTGCAACATAAATATATGTTAAACTTCCGGTAAGTTAACTGACGCTGTCAAAATACTTGAAAAACGCATTTGCAAGTAACTACAAGTTAACTTCCTGGCGATAGTTAACTAACCAAAAAGTTAACTTGCGATTGAAAAACCGGGCCTTAGTGGAGAAATGCCCTAATACAGACAGTATCACTCACACTGCTAGGACGAATCTAACAGTACCTTATATGTCAAAATCCATCAAGTCGAAAAATAGAATTTCTTGTTTTCATGTATAGATCTTCACCTGCGTCAAACATACGGATTTTTTAAGGTGAGGCAAAATTATGGAAAACGCAAATTCATTTCAAAGACCACAGGACAATTTTATTAGGTGTCGCTTGGGTATAGAAAATAATGGAGGCCATTTCGAACATGTTCTTTAAAAGTTAGTCAAATTAAATTATCTTCAATAGTTGTCGGTAAATGGCCATAAAGAGCGGCTAAATACAATAGGTTCTGTACTTGTAGGTGGTAAGGATTCTATTTCGTTTCTTACGTTTATCGCATCACAACAACGAATGTGACATGATACACTTATCATAGCAAGCTGAAATTTTCAGGGTATATTCTACATGGTTTGAAATAGTTTCTACAATAATGAATAATGAAATACAACCTCAATTTTTTTACCGCCCTCCAAAGTAGAGGGATGGAAGACATTTTTCACAAAAAAATGAATTAAAGATTTTTTGCGTTGATTTCTAATTATTTCTGTTAAAAAATGACATAACCATTGCTAAAGCTAACCATTTAGCTCATCTCAAAAAAAAAATCACAGCCCTTAACCTAATGGTTTAGTTGTAATTGCGATTGAAAGTTCATTAACCCGTTTTTTCGAAATTTCACAAAATTGCAAATATCTCCCGAACTATAAAATTTCGAACCACACATATATGGGCTCATTCGATATGCTTGAGGCCCTCTATCACCTGACTTCCGTTGATCCACTACTAACTTTACACCCTGTATATGTTTCGCAACTTATCCGACAAATTTTAACCACATATGCACTGTTACGAAAGAAGTGGATTTCGCAAAAAAAGAATGTAAAAAAGTCCCACAGAAATCGAGATAAAAAAATACAGTTTAACAGTTAACTTATAAAAGCTGTTCAAAATTGTTTCCATTGACTGTAATGCAGGCTTGGGCGCGTCTTATCCAATGTCGGCGCACTAATTCAAATACACGTCTTTCGTGCTGTGCCTGAAGGTTCAAATTATCGATAGCCGCTGCGATTCGGTCACGCAATTCTTCAATATTGTTGTGTATACAAATTCTAACACCTCTCGACCACGTTAGCATTTTTAGGTTATTACAAGATGTAATTTTGAGAAGTTTAAAGAAAATTTACTTGATTAATGTTTGTCCCAATCCGTCTGCATTGTATTAGCAGAACATAGTCATGTTGTGCATCGTTTTTTCAACGTGTGATGTGTTCTCTTTTACACTTTATAACATCAAATACTAGCACCATTCATACTGACGCACTCCTGAGGATGGCAGCATAGTCTGTCGAAAGGTTGAGTACTGTAAGTCAAAAGGGTACATTTGGCATAATTTATCGATATCCCAAATAAAAAGTCTTCCATTTAACTGGTTATTTCGCCAATATCTATGAATCCTATATATATATATATATATATATATATATAGGGTGGCCCATCCATGTGTGGACGGAATATTACTCATAAACAAATACATTTTGGGAAAATCTATTTATGTCATGTTATATATGACATTTGAGGGCATATTTCTAAAATATTGGCAATGTTACAGGGTGTCCGAATTTTGACCTACATATCAAAGTTGTAAAGTTGTGATTTTTTAAATGGAATGCCTCAAATTTTATTGCATATTTAGATAAACCAATTCAAAAGAAAAATATTGATATAGCATACCATGGGGTTTTGGTAATTAGCTACTGAGATGTAAGGTGTTTTGTCCAGAAAAACCCCCTACTTCGGCAACCCCTCAATACGCCACTTTGAAATGTGGAGAGCTGAATTTTGTATAAAAAAAACTTAAACGCCTCAGCTTTTATCTTATTTATTACTTTTTCGAATTTTCATTTTTGTTCATACAGGGTGGTCAAAAACGCGAATTTTACTTTTTATCAAAATTTCAAATGCATCACCCTGTATATTTGTTCAAGTTTGGATTCAATTATTTATAAGCTTTTTTTTGGTATATATATATATATAATCAGATAAAATCACTAGATTTTGAGTTATTAACCTTTTAATAGAACAACATACCAAAATTAAGGAAAAAAATCACATCATCCATGGAAACAAAAGACAAACAATGGGCTAGTTCCATATTGCCACTAAGAGTACAGATTTGACGTAAAAAACTAATAACAATCAGAACAATATATGTCAGCTTCAAGCGTAATAGAGAAAAACAAAAAACAACTATATCAACAATATAAACAAACAACTATCGCTACTCAAGAAGTAATCTACAAAAACTGCTCGAAAATATCTCCACCATGTTGAATACACAGCCGTAGTCTTTGGATAAATGACCGTTGCACATCCCTCAGCATGTGTTCCCTTATCTTCAGAAAACCATCCTTAATCCTTTCGTTCATATTTTCCGGGGTAGATGGTGGATATCTATAAACCTCTTGCTTAACGTAGCCCCATAGAAAGAAGTCCATCGGTGTCATGTCTGGTGATCTAGGAGGCCAAGATATAGGCCCATTACGACCGATCCAACGATTGTTACTCCAGGTGTCCAAATACATATACACACGATTATGATAATGCGCAGGTGCGCCGTCATGTTGGAAGTACATATACATCCGAGTTTGCAGGATAACATCCTCCAAAAGCAAAGGCAAATGCTCGATCAAAAAATTCAAGTATTATGTACCTGTTAATCTGTTGTCGAAATATAACTTGTCTGCCAATAACTCCTCCAAAAATATTCAAGCTCCATTTATTTTGTAAATCTATTTTACCTAAAGCAATAAGGGTTTTCCATCGCATAATAGTGCATGTTATGCCTGTTGACAACACCTATGCTGTTAAAAGTTGCCTCATCGCTAAAACGAACCTTATCCAGGAAAGTAGTGTCTTCACTCACTTTATTTAGCATTATTTTACTAAAATCCATTCGAGCTGCGAAATCCTGAGGACGACGGCCTTGATGCAAGCATAGATGATATGGATGGTACCTGTGCTAATAATCCTTTGGACAGAAGTTCTACATATATCTGTTTCTGCTCCAATTTGCCGTGCACTTAAATGGGGATTTTCCTGCAACTTTAATAGAACCTCCA